GCAGGGGGCCTTGCGGTCCCGCTGTGATAGCTGGGCGAGCCGCCCCAGCACCACCCGCTCCTCCTCCAGCTTGCCCTCCTGTTCCACATCTGGGGAGGCCGCCTCACGCCCCCCTTCCCCCCCGTCCAGCGGGCCTGCCAGCATCTTCAGGATGGCATCTTTCCGGACTGTGCTCTGTTCCTGCGGGCAGAGAGCAGGGGAAAGTGACAGACGAAGGCCTTGTTGCCTACAGCCGTCGCGGCGGGGGGGTGGGGGGGGGGTGAACACCCCCCCACCGTGGGGTCCCTTCTCATTTCCCTGCCTCCCCTGGTTCCCTGACCTCAGAGCCGATGCTTTTCCCATCAGCAGGGCTGTGCTGGAGCTGAGGAATCTGTGGCTGGGGGGGGCACTCCTCCCTTCTGTCCCCTGTCCAGCTCAGCCAGCTGTACAGGGAGAGGCACGCGTGCTGTGTTACAAATGGAAAAGAGCTGCTAACAAATAGGCATGAATTGGCTGTAAAGTCCCTTGCTGCCTGCACTAATTAAATTTCATTGAATGCCAAACTGCCTTCTAGTAAGCCCATGCTCTCTTCACTGCTCTGACTGCCCGGCATCCACTGTGGGAAGGTCGGGGAAGAGGCACAGAATCCGGAGCAATATTAAATTAAGCGCACTGGGGGCTGCAACCCACCGTAAAATGATGAGAATGAGATGCAACAAAGGAGAGGGCTGGGTTGGTTGGGGACAGAGACACCCTAAGTATCTGGAGCAAAATATTTAATCAGTGGAGACAGCCAGCTTGTATTTCAAGAACAAGAATCCATATTTCAGTAGCCTGAACCTGGGGGAAGGCAGAATGAAAGAGGAGTTGTGGAGCTCCATCCCTTTGCCATAGCAGCATACAAAAGAGCACAACCTGTGGTTTGGGGCTTGCAGGATTTCCATCAGTAACAAGCTGTGAGTTACCTTGTTTCTCTTAACTTTACATCCAGCAAACCTGAGAAATTACCTCTTGCCCGAGTATTCCTGGTCTCTGTGACTCATTAGTAGAGACAGCTGGTACTGGACAAGCTGGGATAGACGATTTGACAGCAACAGATCCCGTTTCCCATGCAGCTGGGAATCTTGGAAGCACATTTCCACGTCACTTCTCACAAATGCCATGTTTACTACTGGGACTGCTGTATCTATCCGCTGGCTCCGTCAGCACCAGCGTTCGCTAAGGACCACTTCGTGAGCAACTCAAAAGATGGATAAATACGGGCAGCAGCAATCATTATGAGTTTATATTACAGAATGTTTATGGATATTTTAAAATCACTTTCTTAGCTCTATTAACTAAACCTGCTTCCACAAAAGAGAAACTGAGGTGCAGAAAAATTACATGCTATGTTTGGAGCAGAAGAAAAGATAAAAGCCAGCTTGTGCCTGTCCTGATTCCTACTCCTGTGCTGCAAGTACAGAAATGTCTTGAGCCTTTGGGAGATGGACTGGGGAGCCCAGCTAAATGTGTTTCCTGGGTCAGGTCTTCCTCGTAAGCTTCTTTCCTAGCTGTAAGTGCTATGTTTTGAAATAACCTGCTCCAAGAAGACCCAGCAGCTTCGGACTCCAGGGTGGGGAATGCAAAGCTCAGCCTGCTGTTAGGGGACATTCCTTACGCGTGATCAGCTGTGGCTGTTAGGGAAACCAGGCAGCTCTTCCCCTGCACTAATCCATTGCCAACAACCTTTCTGCATATAGCTGTTCCCAAGCTGCAAGAGATCAAGACTCTGGCAGCAGCTAGAGATCTTAGCATGGATGGGTTGTGGCACACCTTTGGGTAGCTGCTCAGTTCCCTGTAATACATCCACCAGTGCATCAGAACACACAGATTTGCATTGTTATGCATTTCAGGGTGGTTTATATGTCAAATCCCGATATTCTTCATACTCAAAGCATTTGAGTTATAGCAGTGGTGACTGTAGGGATTGGTTCATCAGTATCTAACAATTTTTCAGTTAGTAGAACACTCTAAAGAGAATCATTATTATATCATTATTCTGTAAGCAACAGCATGTAGAAGACCAAGAATCATTACACTTGAATTCATTTTTACCAGAGCCTTATTTACCAATTTATTCCCTACAACTTGTTTCTTTTTTCCCCAGCAGCTAGGATTTGCACCAGAAAGAGTTTGCTTTTTAAGTACTGGATTTGTTATTGTAAGAACGTACAGCTGAAAGTTTACAGTTATCCCCAGAAGGGTTAATCTCAGCCAGCTGCAGAAGCCCTGATCTCTAACAGAATGCTAGCCCTAGCACCTCACACTGTATACGTTTCTTTCTTGCAGCCAGTTTTGTTGTTAATGGGATGTGAGCCCACTCCTGAAGCAGTAAGACACTGATGGATGAGCTGGAGCCAACGCTAAGACAGAAAAAAACTATGTGGATACGTACAAAGGAGAAGTTAGTGCCTTTGAAACCAACATTGGGATCCTTCACTTCTCTGGGTAGCACCTCTGCAGGACTGAAATAGCAGCAGCCTTACGGATACGGCTGTGAACCGGACTGGCGGAGTGCAGGGTGACTAACCACAGCTCAGAGGAACCTCAGGGATGGCAAGGAACATGCAGGTGAGAAAACTGGGGGGCGAGGGCAAGCAGAACAGAGCACTTGCTTGTGGTTATGTTATGCTATTGCTTCCTACCCCTTTGGCCTCTTAGGGAAACAGTCCAGCAAAACAAAGTTATTATAGTGCTATAGCCATTATAATATTAGAGTTTTGCCAGTTGGTAGGATAATTATATTGCTATAATAAGTTCTGCCACTGCATAGAGCAGTACTGGTTCAGAGTGTAATTATTCTAGCAGAACTATGTCAGTATAACTCCCCTTGTGAATACTGCTCTGGAAAAAGCAATTTTATTCTGATATAATTACTTCATTTATTATTCCTCTGTTACTTTCTTACTGAACCCGTCTTTTAAACATTTGTCCTTCCCATGAGTCCTATTTAAAATATCATCTCCCTTGATCATTTTACCAATTACGTATCTTTTCTCTCCCTCCCTAGTACTCTGCTTTATTCTCTCATGCTGCACTCTTTCAGCAATATTATTTTCTCCTTTTGCCTCTCCTCTCTGTTCTTTTTGCCAGTTTTTGCTTAGCTCAGATTTCACGTTTGCAGCTCTCTGGCATCTGCCCTGGTACCTTTCCTAAATAACCTGGCTAGTAAGCTGTAGTCATAGCCCATGCTTCAGCAGTGGATGAAGCTGTAATGCCTTGGAATATAGAGGGGTGGAAGAGTTGTTTGCATCAGGTAAAGCCTAACTGCCCTTATTACCCCTCCGCTGGCTCCAGCCTGCTTCTGCATGCTCCCACCTCACAGGGTGCATTATACTCACCCTAGTGTTCTGTATTGCGAGTCTCTCTTCTCCAGGCAGTGCAGTGGCTCTCACGCTCCACACCAGCAGCAGAACGGACACCAGGCTGGCCACCAGCTGCATGATGTACAGGCTGTGACTACTGTGCTGAATTAGGAAGACTGGGAGAGGGAGCTGTTTCTGGGCTCTCTTCTGCCTCAGACAATGGCTGCAGCCCCTTTTATAGCCCTCCCCCTAGCCCAGTGGGTGACGCAAACAATTAAGTCTATATCAAAGGCAAATTAGACTTTGGAGAGGTTGTTAACACTTGGCTGCTTGAGTGGGATACTTCAGTGCCTCTGGGCTTTCCATGTGCCAGACCTGCAGAGGCTGAGGAAGCAAAGGTTTGGGACTCTCTAGTAACATGCTGTTTCTTCACCCTGAGAAACTGTAGGCACTATCTGTGCCTCCCCTTAGTTAGCTGAATTCTGCTTGGGAACATAATGTTGGATAGAATAGGCCACCAGCTTGCACAAACCTCTGGCCAATGCTAGATGATTCAGAGGGAAGGGGTAAAACTTCTGGCCACCAATACTTACATATGGGCTTGGACCCTCAGCCTGTGTATCCAAACAGCTCCAGACTCTAGGGGTATTTGGATCTGGATGTCTGCATCCAGTGATGCATCTCACTGTGGAACACCAATATACCTGGCTTTCCCTTTACGGTAACATGGGGACACAGGCTGCAGCTCTGCAGTAATATAATCTGTCTTGCAAATGTACAGAAGACTACCTGGAAGCCAGCTGGAGGTTACTGGTTTTTGTTCCTAGTATTGTTTCAATATATCTTGAACCTATCCCAGAAGTATAGGTCAGCACAATGAATCCTGACTTGCAGATGTTGGGTTTAAATGTATTAAAGGGAAAACAAAGTACTGAAAGGCTGGCCAGAGCTGGAGCTGCTCTGCTCAGTGAGGCTTCAGAAAAAGGCTCCTGGCATCCTGGCACTGACTGCAGGCTGCTTGGATTACGTTCCTACCATTTCTGATCTCTGGTTAGCAGTTGCTAGTAATGCTTCTCCCTTTGCCCAAAATGCTGTCCTACCAGTAAGATGGGTATGTGGGCCAGCAGAAGGTGCTGTTAAGCACTGCTATCTGTTTTGCATTGTCCCCATCGTGCAGGGACAGCATCCACTGCCACGTGCCTGTGAGATGCAGAGGCAGAGCTAAGATCCCATCTCACCATTAGCCCTTTCTCCAGAAGCACTTGCCTCAGGGCAAGTCCTCTTCTGACCCTAACAACAAAAGATAAATTGTTATCCTAATTTAGTACATAAAAAAACACCACAGGGAGGTGACTTGGCCAAGGGGATGCTGTGACAGAACTAAGAACAGAAGGCAGAAAAACCTGTTCCCCACTTCTACCACTTACCAGCATTACAGTTCCTGGTAACAGCAAGATGAAGTTTTGCCTGCAAATAATCCAGCTCCTAATGCCAGTTACACCACCCTGGATGCTCCTGAGGGAAAAGATGCCATTGCTCCCATACATATTTGAAAAGAAATGCTGGGTTCCCTCACTGAAAGATTAAAAGAAAAAACCTTTTCTGAGTCATATGGACTTGTGAGGAAAGGTGACAATCCAGCAATTTCTAGAAATGAGTTTTCCTCAGAAAACTTAGTAATCTCTTTGTTTCTCACCACCCCCTTGTGAGAGCTGGCTTTCATGCATCAGTTTCAGATGAAACATTATCTGTATCCGTTTAAACTAATCTTGCTAGTTTATCAGAATTGCTGTCTTAGCCCTTCGTAATGGATTCTGTCAAACACTTCCCAGCCAGTCTGGGGCTCAGACAGAGAGCAGTGAAGTACCAGGCTCCAGCAAGCACACAAATCACAGGGACTCGCCAAATGACCCGCAGCCGATTGGCTCCGGGAGAGGTAAAAGTGGGAGAATAGCAAATGGAGAAAGCACACTTGGCTGCTCAAGAGGAACGAAGGGCAGGTACCTGTGAGTGTGAGATGTGCCTGGGCTGACAGCCAGGCAGAAGGTGAATCCCATTCTGTTGGTTACAAGGCAGGACTAAACCTTGTGGGCCTACTAGCCCAAAAGTTAGATAGACAGCAGCAGCAGTGAAGCCCGGTCTCCATGCTGGGGGCCATCTGGTCTAACCAAACTGCTTGTTCTAATAAATACAGTTTTGTTTGCAGCTTTGCCTTCTGAATGGGCTGTTTTCTGTAAAACTTCATTGAGCGAGTGGGGTCACAAGTGTGACAATGCTCTTCTACCAGAAAAGGGATGATGTGCTGAGCCAGAGATCAGCTTCTGGGGAAGCCCACAGGGATGTAAACAGTGACCAGGCTGCCGTGAATCTGTCCTGGGATTAAAGGGCAGTAATAAAATACTTGTTACCGCTTCAGGAGGTTGGCTTTGGAGAGAGTTTCTGCCAGCACCAAACCTGTGTCCCGCTGATGAGCACAGCCCAGCCAAAACCTGTACTCCTAGCCTGGGCGAGGCTGGGTGTCTCTTCCCAGATGGGAGGGAGGGGAATAGGGACACACCAAAGCGCTTACACTCTAGTGCCCACAGTAGGGCTGGATCTCTAAATCCAAACAAGTTCCCTCCAGGCTCTGCTACAACATCCCTCAATATCAGATGCATCTTTTCCGTATTTCTACACCTTCCCTAGTGCCCTTCCCTTTCCTCACATTCCCTCTGCTGCTTCCCCTGCATTAGTCTGCCCTCCTCAAGCTCTGGTCCTCTGGCCCCTTTGCAGACACCCTGCTGGTTCTGCTACCACCATTGCTGACCATGTCCCCATCATAGGCTATAGCACCATCTCCTCCAAAGGAAGTAAAATAACTCTGTGGTGATAAAATTTGCTCTTTTTAGTAACTGGAAAGAGTTCAACATACAGCACCAGGATTGTTCTTCACTCCTACTGTTCCCTATTCCTTGTCGCATTGGCTGTCTGACCTTTAAGAAGGCTCTGATTGGGTTTTTTTGCCAACCCTTAAATGCTTATAATTCTGTACAGGAAAGGTTAAAGGTCTTCCCTTGGAGGAATAAACATTTCTGACAATTCTTTCCTTGATTTCCTCTTACCACTTGCTCTCTCCGTTGTCTGACTCACCCCTTTAGAAGTCTTCTTCCTTGACGTTGTCTCCTGTCCAGAGTTGCACATGGTCTGAGTGGGTTTCTACCACTTTAGAGTGAGGGTAGATCTATCTGAAATCAGCATACCCATGAACACGTCCATGGGAACCTGGTAAAGGTGGGGATGCTCCAGAAGTAAGTTCATCATACAGTAACTTGAAAAGGTCTGGCTATCCAAGAATTTTGGCTCACAGCACAGAGTGGGTTCAGAAGCAGAATATGCTTATACAATCACAGAAGACAACCTCCATCTCTTTGTGATTAAGGGTGTACAAGCAACATGCAATGGGAGAGGTTTTATCTTTCAAGAAAGAGGTCCCTGACCTCTCCTCAATACATCTGTACAGCAGCAAAGACTGGGCATTGCTGAAATATAAAAGCCAAGACTATGTCTGGCACCAAATGTCACATTAAGGAATGAGATAATTTCTCCATTGGTTTCCTCTGTGGCCTGGATATTTGCCATCTTCTGCCCATTTGTTGCCTGGTCTGGGTTCAGATCACCACGTCTTGAAGCACGTAGCAGAATTGCATCAGGCTTCCAGAACAAAGTCTGGTTCCCAAAGGTGAGGCACTCAGCTGCAGTTGAAGGAAGGGTTCAAATGCTCCTGCTTTTCTGTCATTGGAACCCTTTCTCTCTGCCCTCAAGAGTCCCTAGTTGCAAAGGCCAATGCAATAAATAAAGCAATAGTCAGCTGACAGTTGTGCGCCTTCCTGGAAGGGGAAACCAATTTGTTCATGGGCCTGAAATCACAGCTCATTTATCAGGCCAGGCTTGCAGTATTCCCTCGCACTGTGCTCCCCAGGGGCCTCTGAGAAGCATGCAGGTGGCCGTTCCAGCCACAGCTTTTCATCGGCACTAATCTAACAAACCGAAGGAATAGACTGCGTGAGCGTGGGCTGGAGCCTACTGCTCCCACTCATCCCCAATAAGAGCTGCAGAGCAGGTGCAGGGAGGAGGAGGGGAGTACCGCAGGGATGCTGCTGTCAGAGCACGCACGACTACAAGCCTGTTACAGCTCTCTAGGGAGGTGGAGCGGGGGGAGTTGTGCTACCTTCTCTGTCTGTCGACCCCAAGGGGACTGCAGGAGGATGAAGGGAGGGTAAGTGTAACGCTTCAGTGGTATGCTCAAAACCTTTTGTTACTTTAAAATGCATGCAAAGTTAAACATTTCAGTTATTCCACCAAAAATCTTCCTCAAAAATAACTATGTGCTATGAAACACTTCTATTTCAAAACACCTCTATTTTCCACTGAAAATGTTTTGCCTGGCTCCAAGTAGGAGGCATTTCAGGCTGCGAAGCAGCCTGAGGACACCTGGGGTTGTCACCTACTGACATATGAACTGACCTCTGTTACACCAGACTCGTCCCGTTGGTGGCAACATTGGCTGGACAAGACGTGGATGGAAATCTTTGCCATTTGGATTTCCTGAGGGATCGCATATGCACTGCACCTTGTGGGATTTCAGTCAGAAAGAGCTCACCAGGGATGTTAACACGTGGAGCTGTGGGACTGCCAGCACTGCAGAAGGGACCGCTTGGCTGGGAGAGCTTTAAACAGGAATTCATGCGCTCCATGTAGTGTGGGGTTCTGGTTACTCCTGAACCTGAAGGGAGATGAAACACATGCAGGTCATCACATGCATCATCTTGCCCTTAACCCCGGCACACAGAATTAGATTTGTTAAGCAAACTCCTTCCTGGAGATGCCCAGCCTGGGCTGCTGCAGCAGCCGTTCAGTACCAAGGAGAGGGCAGCCCCCTCCTGAGGGGTCCCCGCTCCGGCTGTCACCACCGGCCCTTCAAACCCCATTAGCCACGAACTGGTGTCCTTGGAAGGCCTGCCGCTGAGATCCCTAATGTTCATAATAATCTCCCTCACCTTTATCTGCTTCACACATCGCTGTGCTATAATTGAGATTCCCTGGCTCTAACTCCCCACCTTTTGCATATTTTAAAATCACCTAACTCCATCCCATACACAACCAGGTAAGAGCACCACCCAGACATCTCAGTATTTAACTTCGTTATGTTTCTCTTCTCACTTTTCAACAACGCTTTGTCTGACTCTTTTGCTAGACCTGAGCTGCCGTTTCATGCTTTTGTCCACACCTTTCCCTCTTCTTCCCCCACCATTTTATCAAAGGAACTTTCCTCTCTCTGAACTTGGTGGCACTTGTTATTACTTTTTTGACTGTTTGCTTACTGAGGCTGCTGTTCTCTGATGAAAGATGAATTGTCATTTTTACTTCGGCAGTCTCCTGCTCCAGCCAAGCTCCATCAATAATTCAGCCAGGCCTCAATAACATTAGGTCTGGATGAATACGACACTCATGCCAATTAGCTGGCTGAAAGGGCTCAAGAGATAGAGGCAAGAGATTTCTCTTAATTTTTTTAAGCTCTTTTCTGAACTTCTAAAAATTGAGTTAGTTCAACGAGTAAAGCACAGAGCAGGGAGTCTGACACAGTTCAAAAAGCGCCAAGAGGCTTAAGCAATTGATGTGCTAAAGCCCATCAGACTCTGTTCCCTCACTTGTCTCCACCTGCTCCGACTGATACTACGTTGTACATTACTTGGGACAAAGCCGATCCCTGTTCATATGCTCCTAGCTTAATAAGATGCTGGAACATGACTGCAGCATGTCTAGACAAACAACATCTTTGTGGATCTTTGCTTAGGAACAGCCTTGCTTGACTAGCCTTGGGCAAAAGCCAGCTAAATTGCCAAAAAAGTATTTTAGTTGCCCACCTGGAGACACTGCAAAGATTGCTTTTGAGTGTTCAGTGCTCAATTCTATATGAGGGCCTATTAGTTTTCTCCTGTTGGCCATTACCCAAATTGCCAGTCTCTTTTCAATCCCCAGTGTCCTTGGCCACAGCAGCCTGCAGCGTAACAGCCTCATACATTTGTGGAAGGGATAATCAATCTGTAGACACAATTGCCTGAGAGATGACTGCCATGCCAAATACCATTCTAGCAGCTTAAATGGCATGTAGACCTTGTGGCGGCTCTCAGCACGGGCTTGCCTAACAGTCATAAAGCGCTCAGAGCTGCTCGGATGGAACTAGCTATAGATGCACAAACTCTTGCTCCCTCTCTTGTTGCACTGTTAATCAGTGCCTGATTTAGGCACTGATCTCTGTCTTCACCTATTGCAAGGCACTGAAGTATTTGAAACTGTTGGTAAAGAACAGTGATGTGGAGTGACTCGGAAACTATATATAGTACCCTATGTACAGAGTATGTGTGACTTAGGTGGCAAACAGCCTTGTCCTCCTGCTCTCATCACTGGCCACTCGCTGAACTTACAAATTTGGAGGGAGCTCAGAGAAAACAGAAAGAATAATTAGCTGCATGGAGGCTAGTAACAGGTTTGAGGAAGCTCTTTACCTCCTGGGCATCGCTGTACCGAAAAAAATGTTGTACTCACCAAGGGTGGGTGGAAGGCTTGAACTTGTTGCTAGTTGGCAGCTGCTCTAAGGCCTTCCTGGACTACAGTCCTGGTCTTGATTCCCATTCCAGGGGAGAGAAAGTGCCAGAGGTAGTTTTCTGCCAAGGATGAAGGGCTGAATGGGGTTCAGGTCCCTCAGTAATTTAAACAGGAGTAGCTAGACCCAGCCTCCATTCCTGGTCTGCTCTTTATAGTAAAAATACAAGAGTTGAGCAATGAAAATGCCTCAATACCCCTAACTCATCAGTAGCTGTGGGAGAAAGAAGACAGCTATCCAGACAATTAAGTGACAAAATGGGTGTAATCTTCTCAACACAAGAATACAAAGGAGATCCAGACTCAGCTCTGCAGCTTAGCAATGCTTTGCAAACCCTTATGACCACAAAGAAGCTGCACTGATACTGGTAGTAGAAGGGGGCATTGGGAAAGATGTGGTCAGTCTCATCAGAAATGGGAAAAAAATAGGAGGGTTGGTATTGACACCACAGAAATCCCTTGCTGTAGGCACGCAGTGGCTGCACCACCTATGCTATTTGTAGGGTCACAATTATGGTAAAGACCAAGCCCAACCTTTGCAAAAGTCTGCTCCTTCTAGTTTTCTCTTAACAAGCCAAAAAGCCTCCCCTCAGGAGCTTTTTTGTCTTCTCCTGATGCCACCTAGCGACTGTTCCCAGCCTGTTCAGCTTGAGTTCAGTGCTTGGTTCAGGCCCTCAGACCTGCTAAGCCACCGCAGTTTTTGCAGAGGAAAGAATGGTGCAACTGAGTGGGGCCAGTGATGGACAGGAATTATGTGACACTAGCAGGGAGATGGGCAGCTAGAAAACAGCTTGGAAAGCTGTACCAGGGACAGCATTTGGACCAGAGAATAGCTTGGATAGAAGGTACTGACTTCTGCAGCATAGAGCATGACAGAAGCTGGAGCTATTATGCAGTCAGGTTACAATACAAAACATGCAATGGGATCACCCTTCAGAGGTTATTTTTGATGATAACTTGTCATTCCTAGAGACAAGGGAGAGAGGAAGTCAGACCAACTACAGAGCACCCCTGGATGTCTTCTGACAAGCACAGCAAACTTGCAGGATCTCTGTTTCCACCCCCACACTCTCCCCAAAGAAGCACACCGACCCACACTGATGTCACCTTAACCAGAGCCGAGTGTTTAATTGATTGCAAGGGAGTGACAACTGCACAGTGGTTGTGCTGGGAAGATACCCACTGCACAGTGGTGGTACGGAGTCTTTAAAACAGAAGTAAGGAAGTGGAGGCAGATCCATCTCACCACAGAGTACAATGAAAAACAACTTACGCAGATTCTGGGGGCAGCATTAGAAGTAATGACGCCTCCTAAGGACTAGCAAATACCCAGGCCTGAGGCATCTCAGCATGACGGAGATGAGAGATTTGTCAGCACAACTGACTCCCCAACATCAGTACTTAACAGCAGGCAATGGATCTAAGGTTTGTTTTTTATATATATATATTTATATTTATATATATAAAGCGCCTATCACCATATTGATAAACATTCTTTGGAACCACTCTGACGGCAGAGGTAAGAACAGGAGTCAGCCTGTTGGTACCTCAGCACTTCTGTTTCCAACCAATTAAAAAAAAAAAAAAAAAAAATTGCACTGTGACTTCTCCAACTGTGCTGCAGAACAACGCAGGTGTCGCAGAAGGGCAGTGGGACAGGAAGGCTCAGACCTGTTACCAGTCAAAACGTCTCAGCAGCAGGGAGCTCCTATTAGGAGAGAGCAAGCTAACTTTGCGCACAAAGCTCTCGCTCTCTGTGCTTTAAGGCTGAGTCAGGGACTCTTCTGGACTCTTCCCAGGTTTCAGAAGATCACCAGACAGAAATAAGTGTCAGTTATAAATATATCATGTCAGTTGCAGGGGGTGGAGATGGGAGGGGGGCACAGGGAGGGGAAAGCTAACTTTGCGCACAAAGCTCTCGCTCTCTGTGCTTTAAGGCTGAGTCAGGGACTCTTCTGGACTCTTCCCAGGTTTCAGAAGATCACCAGACAGAAATAAGTGTCAGTTATAAATATATCATGTCAGTTGCAGGGGGTGGAGATGGGAGGGGGGCACAGGGAGGGGAGAACTTAGAATGGGTGCAGGGAAGAGAGAAAGGAAAAAAGACATCTTACGTTTCCAGCACTGGAAAGAACAGTTTTGACCTCACGCAATAAGTCACTGGACCTTTTCAATAGTCTTATCTGGCTTATGCCCCATCATCTTTAACACATCATCACAAGGAATGTTGGCTGGCAAAAGGTTAAACAATCCCACACAGTGGAGAGTGAATCTGCAGTCTGCTGGGAAGGTCCCCACCACATCACTGACGATCTCAGGGTCCAGCTTGAAGGAAGGAAGCAGCTTCTCAGGCTCACACATCGCTCAGGGCCTGGAGACAGCCAAAGACAAAAAAGCGTAAGGATGGACCTGCTGCAGCTCTACCAGTCCTCAACAGAAATATGGCTCTGAAACACAGCCATGGCATTTGCCTTCATCCCTAGAACGCTCTGAGGTCTTTTCAGGAACTTGCAATTGCAACCCAATTAGAAGACGATGGAATGATGCGGAAATACAGACTATCCTTCAAGAAGGCAGACTACGCTAGAGCATCCTTTCTTTTCTCTCTGGTTTGTGCTAGAAACCACAACCACATTTTATCTAAGGATTTTAGAGCCTTCCAATGGTAAACACCAATTCTGCAAGCTCTTGGACTTAGTTTTGGTAGGTGAAATAGGAGCGATCTGCCATGAAGGCATGGGGCATCAACCCAAAAAACATTCCAAACTGAACTCCAGACTCCAGTCTTCCCAGACTGACTCATACTCTGCTATGTCATCCAAAATGCCGTCCTGCTCAGACTTGCTCACAGAAGCCTTTAGGGCTGCAGGAAATCCTCAGTCCTGTATACTCCCACTCCCAGCAAAGAACAGTCACACCTCGTCCTTGATGGACGAATGGCAGCGCAGTCTTGCTTACCTTCCGTGCAAACTCTGGCAGAATGAAAGCTGCCCGATGAATGTCGGAGTTGTAGTATTTCAGACTCCTCTCCTCTACTTGTTGCTGTGAGAGCTGCTGCACAGGCTCCCGGAAATTCGTGTTCTGCAATAAAGAAGCCAGGTAGCTCTGTAGTGTTTGGGTAACGAACTGTTACTGGCTGTGTAACGGGCATCCTGATTCAGGGCAGAGAACCAAGAGGACTCGCAGAAAAACAGATGACTTTCTGTTCTAGTCAAAGGTTCTGCACAGCTCCAGCCCCAAGGGCTGGAGTTTACACTCAGTACCTCATGTGACTAGCCCTTATTCACAGATGTCAGTGTATGAGGTCAGCCTGCATGTGAGCTATCAGACTGTGCCTGAGCATCTAAGAAGCGAGGCTTTTGCTCTTCAGCAGAACCCACATCTGCATTAAGTCAGGCACAGCGCATGCTGCCAGTGCACCAGATAAATAAAATGCAGCAGCAGAAGTGCCACTGGCTCCCTAAACCAACATGAGAGTTGCATTACAGGCTTGCTGTAATGCAGCAGATTGGGAAGAAAGCAGACCTCGGTGGTCTGACACAAGAGTTACCAGCCCACACCCTGACACTGATTTTCACTTGGAGACCTCTATACAAGCAGATTACCAGTCACAAGCTGATTCTTACCAAGCAAGTGGTAGCCAGCATCAATACGCCAAAGCCTTAACAGGCTCTGAAAATTGGTAGTGGCTTTCTTCTTTCCAAGTTTGATGTACTAGAGAGAAAAACCTTACCCTTTCCTAAGGCAAGTGGTTACATTACTGGTCAATTCTGTGCTTCATTCAGCACTGAGAAAGCCGTGTTGCAGCTCTGGGGCCCTGGGCTGGCGGAGCCAGGGCCCAGCATGAGTCTAGAGGGCCCACAGCTGGGAAAGCTCTGTGCCACAGCTCAAGCTCTGTAAGGGACAGCCTGAGGCAGGCTCTGCAGGTACTTTCATGGAGCGGAAAAGGGCACTTCAGGTGCCTGAAACTCACCGGGTTCTTGCTGCAGAGCATGAAGCCAATCTGCCCACTGGGATATGTGGGGATGGTGCAATAGGCATATTCCACAACAGGGAACAGAGACTTGCAGAACTGACGCATCTCCTTAATGAGATCCAGGTGCAGCCACTGGCACTCACCTACAGGGAGAAGGGAAGACAGGATGCAAGGTGAGAGCTGCCCCTCTTCTCTGCAAAGGCCTGTGCCAGGTTAACAGTGGTTCCAAGTCCAAACCTGCTCTACTCCGCAGAGCTCATGTGGTTTCAAAGGCAAGATAAGACCCTTATGCCAGTTTTATGAAGCACGGTCCAGCAGTTAACAAGTTGACGTATACAGATCAAAAACGCTCCTGTAGCTGGGAGCTGAAATGGATTTCACTCCCTGCGTCATGTCTCCCCGCAAAGAGAATCCCCTTTTTGCCTCACAGTTTGCATGCAGTGATCTGGCATCAGCCTCTGCCCAGAGACAGCATCCTCACCTTGGCAGCAAAGAATCCCATCTTCTCGCAGGGCTGTCTTCATCAGCTGGTAGTAGGATTCTTTGAATAAGCTTTCTGCAGGACCTGGGAGAAAAGTGAGTAAAGAGACATGTCTAGAGAGATACTAAGACAGCAGGCTTCTGAGAGTTTTCCGAATGCCCAGGCTGCACAGGGACTGCACTGGAAAAGAGACATTTCAAATGGCTTTTCAGTGATCACAAGTGTTGGAGGTAATCTAGAGGCAAAAAGTTTTGACCGTGGGTGAACCTCAGCCTGCACCTAGCACAGCAGAACCATCAGGATCTTAGCTTTGCTCAATAGCAAGCCCAGGACCTTTATCAAAGAAAGTCCTAGCAGCTGCTTCTGCCTTCAGTGAGCATTTTTTAAACTGAACTCCTACTCCAAACCACCCTGTATAGAGGTGCCTCTCTCTGTGTTGACTATAGCACGAGTGAAGGTGACTCAGGCACTCATCATTAGGTCTCTAAAATGAGCTGCCGTAATTATTTTAGGTCCCTCTCTACCTCATTTTTCTCCTTCAGAAATACAGCAACCTCACTATAGCCATCTTTAGGCTAGGTAGCTATATCAACAGTGCGTGAGCCACTGCTTCATTAGCAGGCACACATGCAAAGCTGGCTTTGCCAGCATGGTGCTGTATCCCCCATGGGATTACTGGACTCAAGGATCAACTCTTTTCCAGAAGCAATAGCTGCTGGAGTTGAATTTTGAGGACAGAAACGTGACAGCTGGCTTGAAGCCTTGCTGATATGATTTTCTGGTCTTCATCCTTCCCTTTCTCTACCAAAAGAACCAAGTCACTGATAGTCTTTTCACTTGAAAGGAGCCTGGGCAGGCTGGCTTTACTTCCAGGAGGTAGGCAGAATTAAAAAGGAGGAGGAGCGCAGAAAGTAGTACCCTTTTATGGCCAGAATTCTTACCCATGGGGTCAGACGAGTCTGTGATAATCACATCAAAGGCTTCTTGATTTTGTTTCATGAACTCAAAACCATCTCCCACGTGCAAGGTCAGCTTAGCGCTGGAATATCCCACTGCCATCCCTGGGAGGTATTTCTTAGATACCTGGATCACATCCTGCAACACAGAGAGCACAAGTGGGTCAGCGGGCACTACAAGCAGCTACTTCTCAGGCTACCGTGCAGCTGCAGCTGAAAGAACAGTACAATGAGTCATTTCCTTCCATGCCTTCAGCACAAATCCGACTCGATAGCTAGATCCTCAAGAGCTGTCAGTATCTTCAGCCAACAAGCTACACTCAGCCCTTTCCTATGGCCTCAGGGTTCAGTGACACTGTTGGTCTGTCCTTGCCAAACTCAACAAGGAGAACTTAAGAGCTTCAAAAGCTCCCTGAGGAACTAAGACTACTATCACAGATCTGATGGCTCTGTGCTCCTTTTCCCTGCAGACTTCACTTGCAGAGGTGATCTCAGCTAAAGACTTTTTTTTTTTCTCCCCTTCTTAAATAAAACCATGCCAACAGATTTCTGGATTCAAGATGAGAAACATCCCCACCTCTGCTCTATAGTCGTTATATCAATCCCCTCATAAGGTACAGTTTTCTCTAAAACAGCAACAATGGCTAGACGGCCACTGCCCTAGGCCCAGCAATTTTCCTGAATGCTACCAGCTTCTCACAGCTGGCAGAAACAAAAAAATATGCTGCTGTCAGGCAGTGTTTGTTCAAAACAAGGCACATATGCCTACTTAGCTTGGCAGAGAGGGTATGCAGTCTCATATAGCAGTGTTTCCCATTCCTACTACAGCCTCGCTTTGAGGAGACAGCAAAACTTTCCAAAAAAGTAAAATATCAGAACAAGCTGACCGAGAGGAGGACCAGCCCATCTATCACAGAAACAAATACCCCCCGCTTATTTCCTGCTTTCAGTGGCAGGAGGCTGCTTAACATAGCGACCATCCTCCTCTGGCAGGAGCAGTACTCTGTTCTGCATCGGGGAGAGGGGAAAAGCAGCACCTTCACAAAGCCAGAGCTCTCCTTCTCCAGATCCCACGCTGGCCTGGAAGGGCCTCTGCCGTACGTGTGTGAAAGAAATCACATGAAAGAGGCAGCCAGCTGCCACGTAGATGACTCGTAAGGCAAAGAGGTGGCGCTGTCAGTGTCACGCCAGCAGAACCGGCAGCAAACGCACTTGCTACTGACAAGGGACAGCAGGTGAAGCAGCAGCTCCCGTGGATGCTGTGAAGTAGGGCTGCTTTTTGTTGGGTGGGCTGCCCGTCTGACCGAAGCCCTGGGGCACCTCCACGCAGCTGGGAGCCCAACGCACCTCATCGATTTCGCACTGCACCACAGACTCCACGGTCGGGTGTTTCACCACCTCTCGCAGCACTCCCCCGTCGCCACCACCGATGATCAGCACCTGGGAGAGGAGAGGGCAGAAAACCGGCCATCAGCGGGGTCGGCTCACAGGGGAACTTCCACCGTGCGGCCTAAAGAGGACGGCTTGGAACCCGGCAGCCCTCCGGGCTCATCCTGCCCCGGCGCTCGGAGGTGTGCTCTGGGGGCCTACGAGGGCTGCCCTCCAACGCTCTGTCAAGCGCCAAGCGTAGGTGTGCCAGAACCGCCAGCCCACGCCAGCCT